AAAAGTTCGCGGTCGCTACATTGTGTTTACATGAAAATTAACTATTAAAGTGATTTTTTTTTTTTACAATTGGTTATGAAATTTGTTCTAATTACCAAAAAAAAAAAAATTCAAATAACCGGGAACCCATCATTGATTTCCAAGAATTGGTGCACGTGTGATTGGAGGGGGTGGAATATTTTTTCCATGGCTAAAAAACCTATCTAACAACCACTTTCCTAGAAAATGGAAATTGTTTTCCAACTTTCCTAGAAAATTGATGCTATCAAACATACCCTAAACTCTTTTCCACTGATTTTGTACAAGTTCCAATAGAAAAAATAAGGTCCCGTTTGATTCTCTCTATTTTCCTAGGAAGTTGGAAAAAGTTTTTCATTTTCCAACTTTTGTGATGTTTGATAACAAAAATTTTCCCTAGAATTCGTTTTCCCTCCTCACCCCTCACGCGCCTCCTTTCTTGGTTTTGAAGGAAAATGTTTTCTTTTGTTTTTTGTGGTAATTGATTTTTCAGCTTTTTTTTTTTTTTTAACAATTGAAAAAAATTCTAGATAGAATGGTAAAAAAAATTATCACTTTTATTGACAATTTTCATACAAAACAAAGGCAAACGAATGGTATTCGATATTGTAATTTTTTTAATTTTAATTTTAATTTTTTTTTGACAATTGGAACAAATTGTAGATCCAATGGTAAAAAAAAATTATCACTTTAATGGACAATTTCCATGAAAAACAAAATCAAACGGATATCAAACTTTCAACATGTTCCAGGTGAAAAATATATCAATCAAACACAATTAATTACAATTCCCAGTCAAACAAATTCTGACAGTTCAATTCTCTGTAATTCATTTTTTTCCATCCAAATTTCATATTTACAATCAAACGGACCCTAAGTTCAGATTAAAATTGATAAGAAAAAAATACTTGAGTGAAATCTTTTATTTTTTTTTTTTTTTTTGGGCAATTAGAAAAAAATTCTAGACACAATGGTAAAAAAAATTATCACTTTTATTGACAATTTTCATGCAAAACAAAGCCAAACGAATAGTATTCGGTATAGTAATTTTTTTTTAAAACATTTTGGCAATTGGAACAAATTATGGACCCAATGGTAAAAAAATTATCACTTTAATGAACAATTTTCATGAAAAACAAAGTCAAACGGACACTAAACTTTCAACATTTTCTAAGTGGAAAATTATACCAATCAAACACAATTAATTGTAATTCCCGGTAAAACAAATTCTAAACAATTCAATTCCCTGTAATTCATTTTCTTTCCACCCAAATTCCACATTTGCAATCCAACGGACCCTAAGTGAAAACCCAAGGAAATGTTAGTTATAATCTGTAACTTTATGCCCACTTCTCTATTCTTGAGATCCATATTTCTCCCACTAATACATCCAAAACCCATAGATAACCCATCTAAGATAAACAGCAATGTAGCATGGAACAAGACAATTATGGCTTGTAAATACTAAGCTGTACCTCAATAAAATCTCCCTTTGCAAAGCACTGGGAAGTATAAATAGGAGAGACATGAAAGCAAATTTGAATTGCACCGACCTGATTTCCCGCTTTCTGGACATCACCCTCTTGACATTGCCATGGGAAAGGTTTCATTTCATGGAACTTTGCCGACCATTTTCTCTGCATGCGAGTTGCCAGCAGTAACTGGAGATAATTCAATCAAGGATGAAGGAGAAAATGGTGAGCATAATGATAGGGAAAAGGAGAGTTTCTTTGCTTACAGATTTCCCGAGTGGATGCCGGTAAGCACTACTACTTTGACTTAAAAGACTGTCTCAGCTCAACTGCATTACAAATTCATGTTCTGTACTTGCCTAAAATCAAATCGTATATATGTTGATATTGACACCGAAAAGTTTGATTGGAAGAATGGACATCCAAACTCTTCCTGAAATTCCAACACCGACGGTATATACAATTACTTCAAGTCGTGATTCATGAGTGTTTTGTCTAAGCAGGTTCATAGGAAAGCTAGACTAAAACTGGATAGATTTGCTATTATAATAAGCTCGCACTTCAGACATTTCACTCTCTGATCTTTATGGCATAAACAATGTTTGGAAAGGTTCAATCGGACACCAAGGCAATTTATGTCAACCGGCAAGGTGTAAGCCTCAAGGTGTTTTGAGTCATAAGTCTGAAAACAAACAAATAAAATAATTCAAAAGAATGTAGAAGTCCAGAATGTGCTCATAATTACTTATAAACTCTATGAAATTACGTAAACAATTTGAAAAAGAAATATAAAATAGATAATAAAGTAGTGAATAGTAAATTATCAATTTGTAATCACGTGACAAAATTGGATTTTACTACTAGAATTAAAAACAACCTAAAGATCGGTCTCCCATATTGTCAATTTCTTTCCATTCTTTATTTCATCCTCCACTAGCATTGCTCCCTTCCCCTTCTGTGCAAATGCAGAATAAAGAAAAAAAAACAAAAAACATTATGGGCTATGAAAAATAGCCAAAAAGCTAAAGCCAGTTATAAAATGTCCATGAAAGGTAAGATAAAAAAGTGCACACTTTACCTGGCTTGTGACGGCCTCGGTAAATTGAGAAATAAGCTTCAAGAATGACATGCAATATGTTCGAGACATTAATAGAGAGCCTCACGTGAGGGTCACATTAAGGAGTAAGCCTCGCACAACTTTTTAAAACTATGGCCACTGTACTCGAGCAAAAATTGTAAAGCACAGGTTCATCCTAACAAGATTAAATAGTTTCCATAGCAATACAAATATAATGGAGATGCATCAACAGACCACACACGTGCGTCACTGAGTATGTTTCAATTCGTCTTGTTACTTAGCATATCTAGACATAGAAATAAGTTTCTAGCTTACTATGTTCAACAATCAGCCTAACTTTTCCATGTGATAAAGTAGGAGTAGTTTTCAAGTTTTCACATGCCACTTTTCATCATCCCTCCAAAGAAGATAACACTATATGCATATAATGTTTGATGACTACTTATGGCAGGAAAAGCAACAATTTTTCTCTATACTTCATCTATCCCCACCCCACATTATCCTCAACCCAACCCCCTCTCTCCTTCTAAGGTTTAGCTCACTGCCTCCACCCTTCTGTTACTTCCTTCTGTTCTTTCCATATAAAAAGAAAAAAATCTAATGCCCAACCAAATACAAGTTTTTAAAGTTGAAAGGTTAAGAAACTGTCGAATTAGGTGAATTATTTTGGGGAAGTGTTTTATTCTAATTCCTGATTTTTAGGAGATCTAATTAGCTGTATATTTTGGTAGTAGAAACACTAATAGCATCTAGCTAATTGATCCCATATACCCCTTTAACTTCTCTTCTGTGGATCAAACTTTCTTTTATATACTATAATTTATAATATTAACTGATTTCTATCAAATACCAAGTTGAAAGAAATGGATTTCTGCATTTCTTTGCCAATTAATTAAGTTAAATTAACTGCTAGAACAGTTCGCTTCAATTCCAATAAAAAAAATGTGATTTTGTTAACTAAATGTCACACGAATGTTACTCCAAGCATGTGCATCAGTCGAGTCAAGTCAGACATCATTCTACTTTGTCATAAATAGTTGCAGAAGTCAACAGTAAAGCACCAGGATCGTGCCTAACTTGCTATGACAGTTATGCATATTGATCATTTTACCGGTGCCTAAAAGCGAATTACGAACTAGTGTTCTTTACAAACTTTAGCTACTACTAAATTTTTCATTAATTAGTGAAAATGACCAGAAACATTAATATAGAGTGAAAAAGATGTTTCTTTCGCTAGTATGTATCTTGGCTCTAAATTAATGAAATTTGGCCAAAAGAAATGAAAATTAAATAGAATTCCTATTTTTGGTTTAGAAGAAAAGGGAAGATCACTTGATAAACTTGAGCAGTTTTTGAGGAAAAGATAGGAAAAGTCGAGCAACTCACGCGTTTTATCTTCAGCCAAAACCTTTTCTACTTTTTATTTGGTTTAAATTAATACAATTTATTAACTTTGATTACCCACTCAAAATGTGGAAACCTGAATTTCAGCAAAATCTACCAAAAGGGGAAAATGCAGAAAAAGTAACTTAACAATATCGTATGAAATATGCAAATCCAAATTTCTTCCAAATTATTATGATATCTAATGCATTTTGAGTATGAAAAATAGGTCATTACACAATCAGCATTATTACAAAGAAATCAAAGAGAATTAATTTCACAGAAGCAAAAATGTGAACAGGAATCAGTTTCTCAAAAGAAGATGCTGCACCATGTCATGTTCCCGTGTGCGCGTTAAAAGTTCTTCCTAGTCTATCATGTGAAGGAGATAAACCCCAAAATATGCAGTAATTACTATTACGCGTTTCCCACGTGCATAGGCTTGAGGTAATCCTTACTTTTTTCTTTATATGAAACAAATTCTTTTCAGTTAACAAATTACACGCACACTGGGCACTTGTCTACGTTAAGTGTATTTTCTACTATTATATAGAGAGTGGGATGCCTGTACAATCAAGTCTATCATGTTCCTCAAATTGATGGTAATGGTATTAAACAGATCTTCATTTCCATGGTTGATCTGCAATTCCTTTGTCTAATGCAATATACTGATCCGATGCAGGTGTTCGAGAAGTTGATGTTGCAGGGCCACATAGCATGCCCCATCATTGTAGCAAGCTTACTCATGTATTCAAAGTCCTTCATTTCTATGCTCTTCTTGGGGCATCTTGGGGATGTGGCACTGTCAGGGGGTTCGTTGTCAATTGGCTTTGCCAACATAACAGGTTACTCTGTTCTTAAAGGATTGGCCATGGGGATGGAACCAATATGTTATCAGGCTTATGGAGCAAAGAGATGGGCAATTCTCAGTCAAACCTTCCGAAAAACTCTCTTTCTGCTCTTAGTAGCAACCTTTCCAATCTGCATCTTGTGGTTAAACTTGAAACCCATCCTCTTGTGGTTAGGTCAAGATGAGAGTACAACTTCGGTAGCCTGGGCCTATATCAAATACTCAATCCCTGACTTGATTGCTCAAGCTTACTTCCATCCCTTAAGAACATTCTTAAGGACACAAAATATAAACAGGCCCCTTACTTTATCAGTAACCCTTGCAATGTTTCTTCACTTTCCAATCAACTACTTCCTGGTTGTGTATTTAGATATGGGGGTCAAAGGAGTTGCCCTAGCCTCAGGTTGGAACACTTTAAATGTAAACCTTGGTCTGCTAATTTACCTTTTACTATCAGAAATCTCACTAAAACCATGGGATGGGGCCACGTGTAATACATTTTCCAAAGGATGGCATCCACTTCTGGCCCTTGCAGGCCAAAGCGTATTATCTGTGTGCCTAGAGTGGTGGTGTTATGAGATACTGCTACTACTTTGCAGTTTATTAAGCAACCCACAGACAAGTGTGGCTGCAATGGGCATTCTAATACAAACCACGAGCTTACTTTATGTATTTCCCTCTTCCCTGAGTGCAGGATTGTCAATACTGGTAGGCCATGAACTAGGGGCTGATAAACCAGGAGAGGCTCAACAGACAGCTATCATTGGACTCACTCTGGCTGTTCTTTGGGGATCTTTGGCCATCATTTTCACCATTGCAGTAAGAGATGTTTGGGGTAAACTGTTTACATGTGAGCCAGAAATACTTGGTTTGACGTCAATTGCTCTTCCCATAATAGGTTTTTGTGAACTATGGAATTGCCCTCAAACAGCTGCATGTGGAATTTTATTAGGCTCGGCCCGGCCTAAGATGGGTTATCAGATAAATTTTGTCTCCTTCTATCTAATTGGTTTGCCTGTTGCAGTTATATTGGCCTTCAAGTTCAACATGGGCTTTAAGGGGCTGTGGTTTGGGCTTGCTGCAGCACAAATTTCATGTACATGCATGATGGTCTGCACTCTGGTTTGCACTGATTGGAAACAACAAGCCAGCAGAGCAAAGGAACTTACTCAGGAAATTGAAGGTAGCAATAATGATTTGGAAGCCAATCTCCTAACCTGAATGTGTTAACTATGAAGATTAATTAACTCACATTGAGGTCTTGGAGTCTGAGCCTGAAAATAGTATCTTGCCAAGATAAATGTATAATTTTTAGTAAGTGTTCAAGATAGACATGTTATCCTTGTGAAGGACTGGCTGGAGCTTGGGGATGGGGGCAAACCAGTCTGGTAGTTGATTTTTGGGGATTAGATATGTGTATGGACTCTCTCTCTCTCTCTCTCTCTCTCTCTCTCACACACACACACACACACACACAAATAGCCAAAAATAACTATTAATGTTGCAAGATTGTTGTATCTTCTTTGAATATCAAAGTTTCCTGGTAACAAATCCTTCATACCAGCTGTAGAGATTATCTTCAAATGTACAAGGACATCAAAATCTGTAAGCTAGAAGTATCCCCTTAATTTCACCAGAATCGGAAAAATGCACATCAAATGAAGTATTACTAAAGAACCGTAGCACATCATATATATAAACTGTAAGTACAAAGAGAGAAGATTACTCCTTGAATTTGTGTGATTGCTTTTAAAATTGGAAAAGCCTTTGTCTTCATAGCACCCCTAGTAAGCTGTACTATATGTCAAACCCATTGTAGATTTAACAATCTCTACTATAATTATGGGCCAAATGCTTGCTGATTTATACCGAGTGGCCTTTGGGGTCACATCATTATTTAATATCCCAGTTTCATTCTCCACTTCTAAAAAAGGATCAGATACAGCTTCATTTGGATGGAAAGGTGCACAAACAGGGAAATTAGTGAAATATAAAGCCATTCCACATTCTTCTCGTTGCACATAGAATATAATGAATAATATGTTGCAAGATTTCAAGGAACAATATCAAAAATCTTGTGCACGAAGCTGTGATGATGTTTCTGAGACTTCGTTATGATTACCTGGTGTGATAGATAACCAGACAAAGCAATCATTATGCAAAAGATGTTACTCCCGCAGAAATAATCTCGAAGTAAACCATAAATCATGTACTTACAAGTCTTAATATGCTCAAGAACCTGACAAGCAACAGGCATGCTGTTCCGATCAAAAAGGAATCTGCAAAGAATTACTAAGGCGCAGATCAGGTAGGACTAAACAACAAAAACCTTTAATCTGATGATGAAATCAAGTCTGGGTACAAGTTATAGGGAAAAAAAAGAGTGACAAAGATCTAGAAATCACATTACTTGTTTGTATTATTAGCACATGCTTGAAAGAAAATGTATTGTGATTAGTCAAAATCTTGTCAATAAATGAGTCAGGTAGGAGCAGGGTAATTGTTTGATAAGGACAAGATTGATACAGGAGCTGGGATGAAGAAACCATAAATTTTTTTTTGGATGGTATTTGTAATCTGAAAGATATTGATCAAGTTCTCAAATAAAATAGCACTGATCATCAAACCAGATGGAATAAAGGCCTACAATAGCTTTTCCCAAAATGCTTAATTGAACATCTTAGCTCACATTAAAATCAGAAAACAAACAAGAAACAAAAAAAAAAATACAAGATTCTATGATATAATCACTATGATGCATCTTTAACAAATTCAGAAAACATGAATATTAGGTGAAAAGTACTTTCATGCTTCACAAGATGATTATCTGCTGAATTTAGAGTTACCAACAGAGGACTAAGAAAAGTGATAATTTCAGTCGCTAGAACTGTTGTAGGTTTCTCTAATTTCTGATAAATTCAAGCTTTAAGAGATTTGATGTCTAACTTTGACGATGATTGCACTAGGTATCATCCCCACCATAGAATATGAAATAATGAAGAAGCTAATATCTGAACTCCGACATGGCTCCCAGCCTTACATTTCCAATGATGCATGAGAGAGATCCAAGCTCTTGGGTGTCATCTGGGTTAATTAACTATCAATTTTATATTTATGATTAATTAAAAAAAAAAAAATCACCTATCAAAAAAAAAAAAAAAACTTCATTGAAGAAGAGAGTCGTGCAAGGTTCCTTTTGCTTGCATTTTGAAATCAGGTTCTAAGCATTGGTCTACTGTTCTTGCACACAGGTAATTGGTTCATTATCAGCTATCTAAACTTTTAATTAGACACCATATAGTGAGACTTCTTGAGTCTCCTAGAACCCTAGAAGCATATTTCTCTTCCAAATCAATGCATTTCACTTCATTCTTTTATAGTTGCTTATATCAGCCTCCCTGAATTGATTAGGTTTCGGTGCATATGCAGCTCAATAATTGATGTTAGTAGGTTATACGAAAAGTGAATAGAAAATGCATCTATGATAAAGGACACATTTTGTGTAATGCGAATGACAAGAACGGCAAAGGAGAGAAGGGATAGCTCAAAACATTGAGCCGTAGATCAGTAACAGTTGCAATCAAAAGGATATAATATCTATAATCTGATGATAGATCACATATTTCTATCAAGAAGCCTGGTATGAAATGAAGATGTACAATTCACGTTCACGTGCATGGTTATGCATTATCCAAAAGAGCCAGAAATTGTGTTCTGCAGTGAGCAAACTTTTAGTTCATTTAGAGGATGATTGTCCTTTCATCACATGAGGAACCTTGCATATTAAAGTGAACACTGAATCTGGAGATACAATAATTTGACTGAGCTTAGCAGGGAATAGATTAGTTATGAGAAAAAGTACAGACTGCATATTAAAATATTAATTGATTAACATGCATAAACTATGAACATCATAACATATACTGTAAGCAAATATCAATTGCTACCCTATAATATATGAAAATCCACCCGAATATCCTGCTCAAAGGATCCAACAGTATAGTGGAAGGGATGATTGCTAGTTTCGTCATCCAGCCCAATAAAATTTCATCACCAGTTCTTGAAAGTGAGACGTATCAAAGTTGGGCAGTGAATGTAGAAGGAGAAACCTATTGAAATCCATTTGAAGTACCAAATTCAATTGCAGGACCATAATTTCACATGGACAGAATGAGATCAGTTGTAGTGCACATAGAAAAATTGCAAAAACGTAGTCTTACATCAAATCACCTTAGTCTTGATCTTGAATTCCCTTTTATAAAGGGGGGAAAAAATCAGTCAACGAATCTATCATAATTAGGGACTTATTTCTTTCTAATTTTAGTGAACAGTAAATTATGAGATTCATAAAGCATTCCGCTTTTGAGTCCAATTTTTCATGATTCTAAATCATATGCCCACAATGTTTTCTATGCCATTTTAACATGAAAGTCTAATACCATTGACGCAACTACCTAACTCTCGATTGGTAAAAGACAGATTCAATTTTGAAATTTTCATACATTATCTCAGATTCCCCAGTGTGAACAGTGCCAAGTTAATCCCAGTGCTCCGAAGCATTTAACATGAGTGCAGAATTGGAATTGAGACTGTAGTAACTCGCAATTAAATGCAGATTCCACAACAGCATAATAAGCAAACCAAACAATTACAATAACTTTAAAATCCAAATAAAAATTAATCATAAAATTCACTTCAAAACAAAAATCAAAATCGAACCTGCTCTACCTGATGCTGAAATTTCTGAGGACTTTGATGTGTGTAAGTTTAACATTAGGGATAAATGTGTATAAAAAGTATAAACTGAAATTGCACATTTTAGTCTTCAGCTTTTAGAAAATCTTATTAATTAGTTCTCGACCTTCAAATTTGTACGTTTGAGTTTCCAACCTTTAGCTTGTTTGGCGCACTTAGTCCTCCTTTCTTTGCCGTTTCCCTCCCGTGTGACTTTGCTCAAGCCAACAATTATTTCAAAACTCTTTAATTCGCGAATTTATTTAAAAAATCAGTGTTCTGAAATGCGTAATGCGTTACGATGCGTCGAGACCGAGAATCAAGAATCACAAGTTTAGACGTGTCAATGTGAAGAATAAGCGTCATAATACGTTTTCTAAAATGCGTAATGCGTTGCGATGAATCGAGATCGAGAATCAAGAATCACAAGTTTAGGCGTGTCAATGCGAAGAGTAAGTGCCATAATGCGTTTCGTATTTTTAAGGCATTAAATATATTTTTATATAAAAAATAAATTTTTAAAGATATCATTAAAAAAAATTGATTTAAAAAAAAGAGATTAGACGGGATAATGAGCATCTATGCGCGCCCCTTTTAGATGGAAAAGCATTTTTCCCGTATTTTCCGAACTCGACGTGTTTACGACCCGCGTCGTGCCTAGGTGGCGCATTTGCGCGCCTTTTAGAACATGGTTAAAAACTATATTTATATAATAAAATAATTTTTACGTAAATTAAAAAAAAAATCTACTTTTTAACAACATATTTTTCAAAAATTACTATTCAAAACTCCATTTTCTCAAAATAATGACTTCAAAAAGGCCCTGTCGCCTTGGCTAAAGGGCGTGGCGTTTTCAAAACGTTTGGAACAAGACTGAAAAATTGTGGTCAACTTCTCTTTTAATAGTTTAGTCTCTGTTTGAGACAAATTTTCATTTTCATTTTGATTCTTATACTTATTTTCAATCATACATTCTTAATAAAATAATATTTTTCATCATATCAATGCATTTTCCTTCTTTTTCAACCATATATCCTCTATCACATCACATCAAAAATGCATTCTCTCCTAAAAATAAGCATCAAACACACTCTTACAACTTGTTTGGAAGAAATTAAAATCGAATTAAAATTGAAAATATAATCGTTATTGGATCTCACTCGTCTAATAAAAGTCAACAATAACGGCTAATTTTTCAATTTTAATTCGATTTTAATCTCAACCAAACACACTCTTAATATGAGTTTTATTAAGTCCATGCTTGACTCCCTTTAAAAAAAATTATTTTCTTATATTCAATTTCAACCACACATTTATATAATAAAATATTTTATACATAAATCCAAAAAAATTTTCCAAATTTTAATCACACGTTCTCCAAGAAAATCTCTATTCAAAATGTCATTTTTACCCTACGATGAACATTAAACAGTGGCTAATTTTATTTGGAGCCATTTGTGGGACCTATTGACTATTCTAGGCATGTT